TACATATTATCCACGGAGTTCCTCAAGGAAGTATCTTGGGACCGATTCTTTTTTTGATTTACATCCATGATCTGCCTAACTGTAACATTAATCAATGTTGTAGATATGTTATTTGCGGATGACACGACATCAATATCCTCCAATCATAATTTTGACGAGGTATTATTCGATTCTCAACAGCATTTTGACAATACACAAAACTGGTTTAACAGTTTGTCTCTTAATATAGCGAAAACTCAATCTCTTCCACTCGGTACCCGTTCACATATAAGTAATTTAATAGAAGCCGTCAAATTCCTTGGAGTATTTATTGATGCGAACTTAACTTGGCAATAACACATTACCACGTTATCAAATATCTGAAATAACTTATGTTATCCTTAGTTTAAATAACCACGTAGCAAAATAGACTTTGATGACAGCCTATTATGCTTAATTCTATTCTAACTTACAACACTGCATACTGATGGGATATTCATCTCAATTATCGAAGATGTTTGCTGTTCAGAGACGATGCTTGAGAATAATACCAAACTTGCATTTCAGACATTGTTGCAAGATGACATTTATTGATCTAAAAGGTTCAACAGTACCATGCATATATATACTGGAATGTCTGATGCATATTAAAAATAACATAAGCTTCAATAATAAATTATTACCAGAATACTCAGGACTATCAAGAACATTTTGCCTTCATTGTTGAGCTATAACTATCAGACAACTAACCCTTGTACCTAAAAAGGCATCTTTTAACATCCAACAACTTAGTTACGAGACATCAATGTCATCGCCCTTCATTATCATCCAATCTCCTATCTCTGACAAAAACACCTGCATCTTCACATTCCAATTCACTTTCTTTCGCCTAGGAATAAAACAAAACAGCATCAGCATCATCACCGCAACGGGACCACACGTAGAACGCCGGTTTTTAATGTAGAAAGTGCGGCGCATGCAGTTGGCCGTGACGAGACGACGTTGTTCATGCACAGCCAACTATTATGAAACATGCTCGACAGATTGGCTTTATGGACTGCTAAGTTGCGATCACATTAGCGGCGATTATCAGGATGAAATTCAGCACTTTGTTGAAAAGATGTTTATTTTGTATTGGATATGATATACTGGTTGTTTTGGGAATACAGTAATTTTCAAAATATTATCGTAAGAAACGACCCGAAAAAAACCCGGTTATAAATGTTCGAGCCATTTATACAAATTTTGGCATCTTGTCCAAGTTTTTTGTTATTTTATAGAAATAAAACAGGAATACATCATTCTCTGAAGGATTAAGCTTTCCAAAAATATCATTTTTGAGCTATTATTGTAAAGGTTGTAAGAAAATTACCAATCCTTCAACAGGGCTAGTCCAATCCTGGAAATCTGAATGAGTTTATTGTATCCCATGAATACCATCATGTAAGGCCTGAGTAGTTCCAAAATTGTCAAACAGCAGAATAGGCCTGGAATATCCAAATAATATTCGCTTGAATGTCCTGGAAACCGTGTGTATTTTATAGAGACCAAGTCAAAAATCGAGGTGAGTTTGGGAGGATTTTCGTTACTGTCACTGTGACAAATTCTTACGATAAGTGCTGTGTCTTTCAGTGCTGTTTACGCAACCAATATGATAGCAGCCTTTTTTAAAAATCATAAAACTTTTGGTATGATACTTCGATATTTGGAGGCGCTAGGCAAAATTGTTCTTTTTCTGCTCTTTAACAGTTTTGGGAGCTCACACATTCCCACGGTATCTTCTATCGCAGGTGTTTCTCAAATTTTGGGAAACACATTTGTATGTATGTATCTGGCTCTCCTGGGAAAAATTAATGCACGCACCCATGGTTATTAGCGGGATTGTTGTCAAATAGTTGGTTACACCAAGATCAAAATGTTTGTTACTCACGCACGCTAAAATGGATTAACGGATCTGGATGAAATTTGGTATAGATATAGCAGATAGGTTCCTTTTTATCCTGGGACTGCACAAACGGCTTAATGGGATTTGACCTGAGGTGTATGGCGCGGAAGCGCTCAGTCGCCTTTCCGACCGGAAAGGTTATACAAATAGAGCATTTGCATCATGCATTTACTGCATTTTGAGATTCTTTTCCAGGCGTGATGACCTTGATTTAGATTTATTTGGTGTTTTGTTTCACTTCAAGCATAATACTGTGTTCCATTGTAGGTGTAAGTGTAGGTTCAAAACTTTAGAACTTAAAGTTCTTAGTTGGTTGTTAGTTCGCTCCGTTGTTATCAAAAATCTCATCGATAAATACGAAATTTATATCAATTTATTGGTTTGCTGGTTTACTTTAGGTACACTCTGCAAATAGATTGTTATCAAGTAAGTTTTGTGCTTTGCGTGCTATTGTTATTAAATTGCCATACCGTTGGTCATAGTTATCTGTTTAGATTTGTATTTTTTATTTTCATTTATTATTACTTGGTGGTTTTTGAGATGTTCGGAAAACGCAAATGTAATCCTTCGCAAAGAAGTAATAAAGCTCGTATCTTGAAAAGTGACATTATATAGGTTTTTTGTGACACCATGTAGGTTTTTCTATAAGATGTCAACTTAGAACTAGCTTTGTACACTTGACGAATACTTGTTCGTTAGCTGTACGTGTTGCCTAAACGTCATGATGCCTCAGCTATCAATGTTTGCCTCTGATGTGATGTAACATCTGATTCAGAGGGCATTATTGGAGGTGTAAGCTGTAAGTTGTATACTATAGCTAGAAGGAAACGGCAGTGCATAGATGCATAATGGCGATTTGCGTGCCAATGATCTGTGTTGATAATAATTCCTTTCGTTTCTTGTCTCAAATACACTTACTTGAGATGTATGCAAAGCTAAATAGTTGCGTATCCGATTTTTCTGATCCAACCTGGAAATTACATATGCAACTTTGCTGAATTTTAAAAAGGAGGGTGATAAGAAAAGAAAATCCCTGCTTGGTGAAGTATATGGAAACTAACAGGCGAGAAAATATGGTACATACAGGAATATTTATGAAACGTAAAAAAGTTATTTCATTTCACATTAATTTGTATTTCCAGTTATATAGAAATTTATTTTACGATGTCAAGTAAAAAATACAAATCAGCGTCTAGATGTGAGGCCCAGTACGAAAATGTTTTGTATGTGATGCGACATTCCTAATTTGTGTGTGTTGTGGCTTAGTTATACAAAACGCAGTGCTTATCAATAACCCGTCTGGCACAGTGTGACCTGGCTACTTTGCTACTCAACCACAGATCTTCTCCGAGTATACACTATTAGGACTATCTCGGCAATCTGCAACCAACAATGCATGACGGGGAACTGACTTGCAGCTTGCAGCATGGCCATTGAGCATGTTGTGTCATTGGCTGATATGCATAAAGGTGAGTGGGTTCTCAGAAGTAGCGACCCCATATTGTAGCGAGTAACTACTCCTGTTAGGGAGAGCCTACTCGGTTTTAATATGCATAAAATATTTGTCCAGAAACGGAGAGGCTACTCAAGTGCTAATGAAATACTTGAGTAGGCACTCTGGTTTTCGAGTTCTGACTTGTATTTTGTTGTCTCGCCGAACTGGCAATTTCTCTATTGAGAGCAATTACTACTGTATACCGGTAAACGTTTGTGTCGGTGGTGTTTAGGTCGATTATTATTTGTTTATTTACATGATGTCAAACTATTCTGAAGACCATTCATCTGAAAATCAAACAGTATTTGTTAATATAATTAAACAGTATCCTGTTTTGTTGGAAAAATCTAACATCCCGGAAATCAAAAATAAACGACGTAAGGCGGTTGAAGAAATAAAATGGCAGAACCCGAATTAGGAGTTAAATATAATGAAGAGCAGATATGGAAGAAGATTGAAAATATAAAAACCAGATTAAAACCGAAGACAGACAGAAATCAAACCGGAAACAAACCAATAAAATTGAAAGGATGGGAACAAGAACTGTTCAATTTTTTACATCGAGAATCAAATCCTAGTATTGCTCGATTGCAATGTTAGTTGTATTTTTTTGTTTTTTCATATAACAGGTATAAGATGTGATTGAGTATAATATATATACATGTCAATAAATATAAATAGCATATATTTTAAATTTTAGCAGGTTGACCACAAAAAAGCGTTGATTACAATCCAACAGCCTGTGCTGAAGAAGAAACAATCACCAGTACTGAAAGCTACCACAATGAAAGCTGGACCCAGTAGGGAGCCTTCTAAAAAAAAGGAAAACGAGGATTAGTGGAAACCGATGAAACACGAGATCTATCAATAACAGAGCTCCAACGTCTCGTTTTACTTGAACAACTACAAGTGTTTCGGCTAGCTAAGGAACTGCTACTTCACAAGAAAAATATTAATGAATCTTATTCAAATTTATCAACTTGAAATGAAAGTGCAGAAACTGGAGATCTAATTTTCATGAGCCTATTTCCAGGACAGAACTGACAGAAATACTTCATGTTTCATAAATGTTATTTTTTATTATTAATTTTAAGAACTTTCTCTTAAGTTACCATTTTGAAAGTGTTATTAATTTTGTTATGAGTAATTAAACATCGTTCTTCAACGTACATCTACATAATTTGTAAATTTGGATCATGCTAGATACTTACTTAGACCCGAAAGCCATGAATAATTCTTGATACTGCATCTCTTCTAAATTGACCTCTCTGATGTATCACTCCATCTGCATAGTCGGCAGCATGTTGATTATGGTTTCTTCTTGTTCGCAATCTCCCGGTATATCAACAGCAAAATCTGCATCATTAAGGTGCTTAGCCACATTATGCAAGATAAAACAACTCATGACAAGTGAGGGCACTTTTTCTGTATCGACGCGTATTTTGTTATGTAGAATGGGAAAACGCTGTTTTAGTTGCCCGAAACATATCTCTATTATAACTCGCGCTCTCGTAAACAGCCGATTGTACGATCTTTGTTCTGCTGTTTCTGCAATCCTAAAAGGAGTCATGAGCCAAGGAGCTATACCAACAAAACAGCACTAGCCCTATTCCATTTCATAACATTGTATATATCAGAATTCTTCCATATCCGAGAGTCGTGTACAGATCCTGGCCAAGAAATATCCACACTTGTGAACTCTTCGTTTGAATTGCACGTTGCTTGTACATTTATACTAGCAAAGTTCTTTCTGTTCACATATTCGTCTGCATGAATAAACGGCTTCAGAATAGGTACATGGGTGCAGTCGATAGCACCAATAGCTGAAGGAAAATTGAACTTTTCTTGCCACTTATTTTTAGCATTGTGTAGATTTTCACATGAGTTTGGGAATCTAATCCAAATATTCGACTTCTGCACAATGCGTGTTATAACGTTGGTAACGGTTCAGGATACCGTAGATTGATGGACACCAATATCTTCTATGCCAATTTGAAATCCTGGATCACCCACAAATCGTAAAAAGCCCTCATTCTTTCTATATTGCTCAAAGCACCGCCCCTATATTCTTCTCTCTCTCTCCAAGAAAATGGTTACTTATCCACTCAACATTAACTTTACTAAACCGATATAAGGCCCGATAGTCTATTTCCCTTGATTCCCTACAATCTTTAAACACCTTTGTAGGCTGATAAATAGGTATAAATTTGGCCATTTCGTGAAGACATCCACTTCCTATAAAGCTGAGTCTACTACTAAGGTATCTCGCACTTCTTTAAGTATGTAGTAGTATAGACGCTCGCTTTTATGCATATAAAAATTAAAGTCGGCACTCAAGGAGCGACTACAGCCTCACGGAAAGAGTAGAAACTTATGAGTGTGAGCTTCTACTTACATTTTTATGCATATCAAATGGAGTGGCTACTTTAAAAATGCGAGTCAAAAGTAGCCACTCGCCTTTATGCATATCACCCATTGAGTCATTCCTCCATAGATTGATGTTTTTGATGACGCTCCTAGTGAGCAAACGCGGAATGTACTATTTGCACACTAGGAATTATCTAGGCAGCAAGTTGATATACATATGTCGGTTTTTTTTTTGACGTTTTATAGGTTTTTTACTTAATAATAACCCTGCTGGCCATGAGATTAGCTCCCGAAAAATCAATTCTTTTACACTTCAATCAAGAAATAACGTTGCTTACTAAAATGCTTCAAGATGAATGACAGATTAATGGGCAATACGTACAATTGTTACACTACTCTAAGCATACATGTTAGGACATGCCACACAGGCTGCGAGGTACATTCTATTTACAGTGATTAAAACGTTAATAAATAACGTCAGAGTAACTACTGCATTACTTTGAATATAGCATTTGTTTGTCTGCTTCACATTAATGTAAAACGAATGACCTAACTTTACCGTACTTAGGCTTTAGGCTACTAGTATTATGAGTTCCTAGTCGTAGACGCTATACTAGTTGGTCTTTTAAAATATAATCCTTAAAAAACAAAGAAACTTCTGCGCTCATGTCTTCATGAATGATATCGGTCAACGAGATTTTTTGTGGCATGAATGAAGCCGCTTTATAAGGGTAACTGGTAACTGGGTTGGTTGCGTGGTTGGGTAATGAGTATCCACTTTAGATAAACACGTCAGAAATTAATATGACTGAACTGATTCGCGCGACCTTATGGATAACTTGATCGTTCACAAAGGCACAAAGCACTTACTGGAGATACATAAAGTGTAAATTACAATCGTAGCTGCCATTTCAATGTACATGTAGGTAGTATACATTTTGCAATATGAGATTTTTGTGATATTACCTTACGAAAAGCCGCGTCACTCATTTTCGCCTGTCAATCTAACTGTCAGCTAATCCCTGCCCCGTCTATAACTTGGAAACTACCTCTCGAATATTGATAAAATTTTCGTACAAAGTTAACAATATTCCAAGGTGGAAAACTTTTATAGGTTTTGAAACTCGGTCCAGTGCTGGCAGAGAAAAAGGACAAACATAGAAAACAATGAAATCACTAAGACCTCGTTTTCCGATGCGCCAAAGGTTCCTGATCTTTTTCACAAAAGTTCCTGTAGGGGTAAAATTTAGGATGTTGGACATGATCTATTTAATTGCTTTATTATGCATGTTCGTAGCCAACAAGAGGGTTTAGCTTGTGCCGAATGCACTTTGTAAACTGATGACAGTGTTACGTAGGAAGCTACTTGACGTAATTTATTGTGTAATGCACTTCATTGGACTTTACCGATGATGGAGTTGAAAACAGCCTGATGATGAGAGCCATGGTATACAAAAGCTATACTGGCATACAAAAAAGTCTAGTAAGAAAATATGAGTATCTTATAAGCTGCAAAATAGACCAAAGATATCGGATTTTGGGTTCGCTAGTTCAATTTGTGATCCATTTTTTCGCACGAGTTATATCAGCCGTTCCTAGAGGACATTTAATTTTATTGATAATTCCCCATTGCTTGTCTGGCCAAACCAAACCACATATGTTCAAAATTCATCTATTAGTCGAAGATTGCATAACAGTTAACCGGTGTGTTACGAAAACAGTTCTGGGTGGGGGTGTTTTAAGAGGACTTATGCCGTATCAGGAACCACGGACGAGGGTGACGTGATTGCTACCTTAAAAAAAGACAGATAACCTTATACCCGCTTGTCACTTTGGAGAGCTGGACGTCCTTTGCACAGTGCTATCTTAAAAATGTAAAATTGTAATCTCATCATGTTACAAGACCTTTCAGACTATTGTAGTAAAACACTGTATAGGAATGTGAAAATGAACAGAAACATAAACGGAATGTCCTCTGAAAGTTAGATAAACTGTATTGTCAAAAAAGTGTCAATTGTACTTGATTCGTTATGACCGAAATGTCGTATAATAAAACAATATTTAAAACGTACGTGTTTTTTTTCTGTCAGACAAACATTAGGGATTATCATAAGTAATATCATAAGGACATCTAATTTTACTGAAAAAAATCTAAAAAACACGTTTCTCAGTAATATTTTAACAAGAAGAATGAGTGCTGACAACAACAAAAATTGAGGTCGAATACGAGGATTTTTGCACCTGCACGAATGTTTTTTGTTAAAAAAATATTACTTTGCATTGTGTTTTCTTGATCTTTACACAGGAAAAAATTCGATGCCCTGTCAAACTGTCAAGTTTTGCCGCGGGTAAGTTAAAAAAAACTGCTGGCAGGTGCAGTCATACAATTTTTCGATCTAGAATTAGTGATTCAAAATTGCGCGTTTGTGATTCGTAGAAATTAAGATGAGAGAAATAGTCAACATGAAAACCACAGGATAGGTTTCAGATGTTACATTTACTTTATTGTTCTCAACACATTTCACATTCAAAACGATCTAAGTCTATAGATGTCACAGTAATATTTTTATAAAGGGTGTGCCATGAGTTGTTTTTTTTAAGTTGGTAACACTTCCATGCTCAACATATTGACAGATATATTGTGGCAAACTTCCGCTGTTAGCCATGGATCGTTTTAATCTTAAACAAAGGTGGGAAATATCGAAAAACTATTTTTAAAGCGAGAACTGTGATGCAGAAACTTTGCGAAAATTGAGAAGACTATTTGGTCTAAATGAAGCTCCGTCTGCGACTGGTATACGAGAATTCGTGAAACAGGTCTGCTTGTGGATAACAAAATACAGCCGAAAACATTGCTGCTGTTGCCCAGAGTGTGCGTGAAAACGCAAAAATTTCGACTCGTCACAGAGCACCACTAGTGAGTATCAGTCGCACTTCTGTGCGGAGAATATTGCATAACGACAAGGGATTAGTTCCTTACAAGGTGCAACTTGTGCAAGAGTTGAAACAAAATGCCCATCCGCTTTCATATCGTTTCTCTGTATGGGACCTAAATCAATTGGAAACGGAAGTCAATTTTGGTCGCCAAAATCATCTTTTCGGACGAAGCCCATTTCCATCTGGGAGGTTACGTTAACAAGCAAAACTGTAGGATTTGGGGTTCTGAAAATCCACATGTCGTCATAGAAAAAGCGATGCATCCAAAAAGAGTAACTGTTTGGTGTGGCTTTTGGAGTGGTGGGATTATTCGTCCCTACTTTTTTCAAAATGAAGATGGTAACAGCGTGACGGTAAACGGGGAACGCTATAGAGAAATATTGAGGAGTTTTTTGTGGCCACTATTACACGTCATGTACTTGCATGATCTCTGAATCCAGCAGGATGGCGCAACATTTCACACCAGACGTGAAACATCGATCTTTTACACAGTAAGTTGGGCCATCGCGTTATCAGCCGTTTTGAAGACGTTCATTGGCCAGCCCGCAGCTATGATTTGACGCCCATATAATATACTACTTCCTATTAGGTACTGTTAAGGCCCACTGTTACAGTAACGATCCTCAAACAATTGATGTTCTTAAGGAAAATATCCGTCAAGCTATTGATGAAAGAGACCCACAAACTATGTGCTTCAAAATTGTGTTAATAGGATGGACCACTGCCAGGCCAGCCGCAGCAGCCATTTAATGAATTTTTTTTCATAAATAATCGGAAGGTGTATTCTCTAGAATAAAGTATCGGTTGTTACACATTATTGAAGAGTGTAGTTTTATTACCAATTAAGAAAAGACCCACGGATGGCCCATCCTATAGCTTTAGAAACGTAGAATTTGGATTTTTTATTTTCACACAATGAACCTTTGTATTTTTTATGAAATAACAAAAGTAATGTCATTGTGATTGTTTTCATAAAAAAATTTAAACTGCATTTTCTAGAAACGGATTGTTTTATTTCAATTCTCTCCTACACCCTGATCTATTATACATCGAAACCTTTGGAATGAAAGCAATATAGAAATATCATGTGCACCCTATTGTATTCAATTAATTTCCTGGAAAATAGAAAATGGAATAAAGGCGATTCCGCAATAAAGTAGCTGTTTCGTCAAACAGGAGCGAAATGCGATACCTATAGCGTCCAGCACATGGATCCGTTCTGCGTTTATACTATTAACGCAGAACGGATGTATAAACTTTATAGTACATACTATACAGTTATCGTGCGCTAATAGCATTTTACGGCAATAACACCTATAAAATTTGTATCAAAGCAATATTCGATGAAAATTTTACGATATCGCTGATATTTTTATATGCCGTGTGCGCGAAAGCCCTTTTTATTGCTCCATTTTTATATCTTTCCAACAATTCCGCTCCTCCGACTAAATTTATGACTCCCCTAATATACACGGGGTTTTATATGCAGACAACGTGGTACACTATCTGGAATATCACT